GATGGGTAAGAGAACAGGACAAAAAGAAAAAGGGACATCCTTGAAGAAATAGAATATGCTAGGAGTTCAATACTGTGCTCAGAAAACACATGGTCCTGCTCTCACAGAGAAAATGTCCTTTTTAACCCAATATGCAATTACCCAAGGACAAGTGCTATGAAGGAAAATCTCAGGAGACAACGACGCCCCTCACGGGTGAGGCTCATCGATACCGAATATGGAGGGAAGTTATCCTAATTTGAGGTGGTCATTAACAGGTGCAGAGAAATTAACTAGGCCTGGGTTTGTCTGGGCCAAGAGTGACAGTAACAGTGCAGTCTGGGCTTTTGCAGACTCAGGTAGGAGTCAGCATGGAGACCACCGTGGCTGGTGTGATAGTTCCATGGATAAGTGCAGAAAAGTAAAGCTGAAGTAAATCAGCAGGCCTGGGTCACACAGGTCCCTGGAACCGCAGAAGGAATTGGAATCTTATCCTAAAAGCAGTAGCCAGCTGTGGGTGTAAGAAGCAGCAGAAGGTAATGTGTTTCCAGGAGATCACACTGGTGACGGTGTTGAGGGGGGCTGGACTGCGGGCAGGAGTGGAGAGGCAGCTGGAGAGGGGGCTGTTGCACAGTGAAAGCCTGGCATGACAGAGAAGGGACTGCAGGCGCAGGGGGAGGTAGACAATGTGGATAGACAGAGTCCACAGGCCTTGACAATGGTCAGCTGAGGAGGTGAGGGAGGAGCAGGTGTCAGGCTGACTGTCCCGTGGGGTGGGCGACTGACTAGATGCTGGTACCTGGCAGGGCCAGCAGCCTTAGAATAGGCGTTCTGCCTGGGGTCTTTGGCATGTCAAGTCCCTTTAAGACATGGAGTTGAAGAGGGCGTTAGGCAGTGGGCTGTGTTGTTCTTCGCTTAGAGGAGAGAGATGTCACTGGCACAGACACGGCTGCTGAAGCCACAGGCATGGCTCAGGTCACATGGGGAAAAAGGATCCACCGGATTGATGCAAAATAAAAGGGCAAGGCCTGGGAGAAGAGGGGAGACAGCAGAGGACGCAGACAGACCCCAAAGTGGGCACCAAAGAGGACTGGCATTAAGCTCCTGGAACTTTGCATGACCTCATCTCTGTCTGCAAACCACCTCTCCACCAAGCCAGCTGAGCAGTGCCTGCTCCTTCAAGGCACACCACAGGCACAGTCTGCTCTCGGAAGCATCCCCACAATTCCCCAGGCTGGCCAGAGTCCCTGGGGCCAGGAGCAGGTGGTAGAAAGAGCAAGGCTATGGAGATGACAGGCTGGCTCCTTGCCATGTGACATGGGCACACTGCCCTAGGAAAAATCTCACTGTCCTCCACTGTCACATGGAAAAACAGCTACTGTGCAGGCATTATATTCCTTGTGATCAAACTATATCATGCATCTAACCCTCCAGGCTCATATAAGCTCTTAATAAACAGAGGCTACCATTGCTCCTGGGCTTGACAGTTTCCCTCACCGAGCCCAGGAGCTCTTTCTTACAGCAGGGTTCTATCCACCTCAGCATCACCAGCACCTGGTATACAGTAGGTGCTCAGTGGAATGGGGAATAAAGAGCTTGATGGGGGCAAGAATGTTCAGGGGACCTCCTGCAGGAGGAGGGCCCAGGGCCAGGCTCTGTGAGTCCCACAGTAATCCCATCCTGTCAAGCAGTGCAGGGAGGGACAGGGCAGGGGAGAGGAGGGCGCACAGCTTGAACACATTTTTCCCAGCTGAAGGGGCCAGGGAATGACTTCTGTACTGAACTTCGACCTGAGAGCCACATACCGTCTTTGAACTGTCAGACAGCCCCCCGGCCCTGTCACTCCCCATCTGAGCTGGAGGAAAAGTGAAACCCAGCCCTTCTCTGGAACAGTCCCCAGACGCCGCCCCACACCTGGGTTTATTTGTATGGTACTAGTGGAGGCTCCCAGCAGAGATTCTCTGCACCTCCACACCACAGCCCTGGCCCCTGCCTGCAGTCGGCCTGGGTCTCCTTCACCTGAGGTCCTCAGTAGCTTCTCTTCCATCCTGGGCCAGTGCCCCCCGCAGTGAGCCAAGTCACAGTGAGGAGCTGGGCTGGCATCCTGTCCCCCACCTTATGCAGTGAGGGGATTTAGGAAAGTCTCTTCACAGAACTGTCTGGACCTCCGTTTATCTGAAAAATAGGCTACCTGCCAGGTAAATTAACTTCTTGTGTAATTCTTATGGAGCTTAGGAAATGTTAGTTTCCTTCTCTTACCTCAGACTGTGGCCCAGAGGAAGAAGAAAGTCTAAGCTGATGGTTCTGAAAGCTCAGCTGTGGAGCAGAGGCCAGCACTGGCCCTCACACACACTGGAGCTTTGCAGCAGGGAGGGTGTTTCACCCGGATTTTACTTATGAGGAAACAGCTCCAAGAACAACTGATGTGGCTTATAAATAGAGGAGCCAGGGTTCAAATACAGACCATCTAACCCAGGGGTCAGAGTAGCAGCTCCGCAGCAGGAGCAAAACCACACCTGGAAGTTGGGCATCTCGGCTCCTCAAGCTGTTACCACCTGTTCCACCAGCCAGCCCCATGCTCATGGCTGCTCTGAGCCTATTTCCTCACCAGAAGAGCCCAGACTCCGGGGCTGTGCACCTGCTAAACACAGAACTCATTCCTGATGTAAGTAGCCTCACATCTAGCCAGGGTCTGGCACCAGGAGGTGCTCAATAAATATTTGTTGAGTGACTAAATGAATTCCCAATTCTTTCTAGAATACCTATGAAGGTGATTGTGAGGTAAGTACATGAAAGTAAATGTGAACAATTCATTTAGTAATCAATCTAAAGAATTTCTCTTCCTTCTTTTTCTATACAAATATATGTCCTGCCATGGACCAGGACTGGGATGTGCTGTTCAGACACAAGGGTGATCATATTTAACACTTATTTAGCACTTTCTATGTGACTGATACACCTAAGCATTTTTCATGGACTTTCTTACTTAATACTCAGAATAATCCTAAGAAGTAGAAAACTGTTATTATTACCCCTATTCTACTGTTCGAGAAACAGAGACCAAGAAATTAAGTAACTTTGTCAAAGATACTTAGAAAGTGGTGGAACCCAGGGTCATAAGTGGGTATTCAGATTTCAGAACCAAAGGGAAAGAAATTTCTCAGCCTCAGATAGCTCACTGGCTGATGGAATAAGATGTGTGTGTGTGTGTGTGTGTGTGTGTGTGCATGCGCGTGCATACGAGTGTGTGTTTGAAGTACGATGGGAAGCTTCTCAGTGTACTTAGCTCAGACAGAGATATTTCCAGTGACCATTTTGAGCAATATTTTTATTGTTAAAGCATTATTATGAAAACAGTGATTTTGTTATTAGCACCTCCTCTCTTTCCTTGGGTTTTTTGAAAAGAAAAAAAAAAGGCCTTTGAGGGTAGCTTAGGTCTTGATTGAGGGGGAAACTGAGGCCCAGAGAGGGTCCCTCCCCTGGGCCACCGAGACTAGAGGTTTTTAAACGTTGCTCCAGCTCTCCACGGACAGAGCCCCATGAGGAGCTTCTGCCAGTTTGCATCCTGACACCATGACAGATTTCAAGCTACCAAAGTGAGGTTGCCAAATAGTGAAGTTGGACAGAAATCCTTCCCAAAGAGCTTCAGCACACCGCTGTCGAGAACCCAGACTTCCCAGGAACCTGGAGACCTGTACAGGATACCACCAAACCCATAAGCCCCAGGGGACGGCTGGGTATGGGGCTGAGGCCACGTGTCCAGGAAGAAAGGGTGGACAAAATGCTGAGCCCCGACAGCCCCCAGAGTCTGAGCAGGGGCCTGTTTCCCTTCCACGGGCTGCGATCAGACCTGTGCCAGCACCCAGGGCTTGGCATTCTCTGGAGCAAAAACGGCTCATTCTCTGCACCAAGTATAGAGGTGCGGGGAGAAGAAGGGAACTGGCTGATTCCTGACCAGCAACTTGCCAATGAGCAAGCTGCCCTGTCACCCACACAGGTCCCAGAGGGAAGAAGCCAGGGCTGGGCTCCGCAGTTCCTGTGGTCCGCACCGCAGACCAGGTGGGCTCATCTCCAGGTGCCACACGGATTTATCTCTTTAGCCTCGGGCCATTTTCACTGCTCAGTTCCTTCCTCCTGCAGCCTGGGCTCCTAGCGTTTCCAGTTGACAGATCCAAGACCTCACCCAGGTAGGTAAGGGGTGCCTGGATGGGGGATCTGCAGAGCACCCTCCTCAGCAGAGTGCCCTCAGCGCCCTCAGGAGCTCATCCTCTGCATTAAGTCAGGGGTGTGCTACTAGAAACACCCAACAGTTAGAAGTAGAATCGTCCTGGCTACCAGAGTCTGGGAAGGGGTGGAGGGTGGGGAATGGAGGCAGGATGGTTAGTGGGTGCCGGGGTACATGGATAATGTTCTACAGCTTGTCAGGATAATTGTGGTGGACCACCATCAATTGAATATTTCAAAACAGCTAGGAGAGAGGAATTTGAATGTTCCTAACACAAAGAAATATCTGAGGTAATCGATATGCAAATGACCCTGACCTGATCATTACATATTACAGACATATTGAAATGCCACGCTGTGCCCCATAAATATGTACAGCTATGTGTCCACTAAAATATACAAATTAATAAAAATTGTCCTGCTGTGAATAGTGGTAGTGAAATACCTAGCATCACTTTCTGTAGTATCTTTGAGCTGATTACTTGTTATTATTTAATTATGATAGCAAACAAATAAAAATACCATTTAAGTCCTTACTGTGGTCAGGCACCCAATGTGTGCTACAGTTAATCTTCTAAGCAAATGGAACAGGAAACTTATTATATTTATATTTTACTGATAAAAAAAAAAAAGCTCTGCTTAGAAAGATTATTTAACTTGACTGAAGTCACCTGGCTAGTAGGTGACTGAGCCAGGATAGAACCCAGGTGTATCTGACCTTGCCCCATTCTATAATAATTAATCCTTCAGGTTGATTAGGGGGAAAATTGAGTTAATTCTGAGAGAGTGGATACAGATGAGGCATTTTTGTTTTATTGCTACTTAACAAATCACCATGAAGTCGGCAGTTTACAGAAACATTCATTCATTATCTCACAGTTCTGTAGCCCAGAAATCCAGATGGGCTATCTGAGTCCTCTGCTCGGGTCTTACAGACCCAGTCAAGGTGCTGGCTGGAGTCTTCTGGGCGGTGCTGGGAAGAAGGCACTTCCAATCTCGTCCAGAGGGTGGGCAAAATCCAGCCCCTTGCAGTTGTAGATCTGCGTTCCCTGATTCTTGCCGACTGACAGTTTCCCGGGGCCACACACATGCCTTCGCACATGTTGCCTCCATTTTCAAAGCCAGCAACCGTGTGGCAAGTCATTGTCACACTTCAAGTACCTCTAAGTTTCCCTATGTGTGTCTCTGACTTTCTGCTCTGCTGGCAGCTGGAGAAAGCTTGCTGCATTTTAAGGGCTCATGTGATTACTCTGGGACCACCCAGATAATCCAAGATAATATCCCTGACTTACAGTGAAGTGTTCCATATAACACAATCACAGGAGCCATGTCTCAGTATCTTCAGGAGTTCCCGAGATCAGGGCAGGACATCTTTAGATTCCGATTAGAGATATCCCACCTGCTAACGAATAGGCTGTGTAGCAGCAGAGGTTCCGGGGGCAGTCTCTAGGCAGGCAGAGCTGGGACGGTGTGGAGCGTGTCCCTGGGTGTCTTGAATACCCAGAAATCACTGTAGGGACACTGGATAGCCAAAGGGAAAGCACATAAGCAAGGAAGCAGGGTCTATGGTGGGGAAAGAAATGGGAAAAAGGAAACAGAAAGGAAAGGAAGAGACGCTAAGCAGAGATTACAGCCTCGCATCTGTAGAAAAGTTCAAGTTCTCTTTGCTCCTGTGCAGTGGCTTCCAAAAGAGATCTGGTATGTACCTATGAAGTTGCTTGGGCTGTGCTACATGGAATGAGTGGGTTGAGATTCATTGGGTAAGTTGAGTTGGAGGGGATCATATAGATGGGAAATAAAATGTGGTGTTTTTTTTTTTTAGGTTAAGAGTTGGTATGGGCTGGTTTGGGATGAGTTGATTGAGTTCAGATGGGCTGGCTGGAAGGGGGTGAGTCAGGGCTGTGTTAGTTGGGGCTGGTTGGTTAGGCTAGACTTGAACCTTGACTTGGATTCCACAGGCCTGGAAGTTGGAATGAAGGATTAAAGTTGGACCAGTTTGAAGCAGGGTTAGACCGAGTGAAGGACAGAGTAGGTTGGGGCTTCCTTAGCTTCTAACTGCAGAGACAGAATTTTCTCTGGATAGTTTAAACACAAAGAAATGCACTAATGGTATTGAATGACTTACAGAAATATTTGGAAAGCTGAAGAAACAGATTCTAGGCTGCATCTTCAGGACAAACTCCCCAAGCTGACTGCAGAACTGGACCACCAAGGCGGCCTCTCCTTTTGCAAACCATCAGGAAGCCATCTGCCAAATCAGGAAGCCGCCGCTCCAGCTTCTGGCTCCAGAGCCAGGCTCATCGCATGTCCACACCAGCTGAACGCACACCTCGGTGTGGAGGCACTGACAGGCTTCGTCTCCAGCCAAAAACATGTGGTGAGGAAATTCTTTGAATAGATCATACAAAATTGGGGAGATGGTCATAACTGGGAAGCAGGGTTGGGGGGGACATAGAGGTACTCTATACTCTAAGTTTGCATATGTTTGTCTCTATAAATGTTTTAAATGGATGCCTCCTTCCCCCACTCTCTGCACCTCCCCTCCCCCACACACACACACACTTGGTTCACTTCTGCGTGAATAGACAGCTCTTGGCAGAATCCACATCAGATCCCTAGCTCTCTTGATAGGCCAGTCTGGGAAATTCAGTGTTGGCTTTTTAGTGAGACACAAAGACACTCTAGAAAGAGGGAAGGGAAGAGGCCCAAATCTATAACATCTGTCCCTACAAGCCAAGCAGAAAGGGAGGGATGGGTCGGAAGGGTGAGGCTGGCCTGGGTGGGACTGGCAGTGCTCAGGGGTGCTGAGATGGGTTGCACCAGGTGACATTGGAGATTCTGAGAGCCAGGTGGCTGAGCTGACTGATGGAGTGGGGCTGGACAATGTTGGCAGGGGTTGAATTTGGAGGGTGCTTTGTACTGGGGGCCGCTGTGAGGCCAGTGCTTGAACACCAGTGTCCAGCGCTTTGAGTCCAGGGGGTGTTTCCCTGGGTGGCACTAGGAGGGCAGGCCCAGGGGGATGACATCACTCATGACAGCAGTGGCCTGTCAGTCCTCCGTCATCGGGCTCTCTCTCCCCCATGTGGGCCAGGCCCAGGTGCTCTTCACTCGAGCCAGACCTGTGCCCGGGCTGAGGACGTTCCCAGCCTCCTCTGCCCTCCTTGAGATGAAATCTGTTCTAGCCTGAGGCTTGGAAAATAAGTTCCAAGCAGAGAAACTTGCAGGATGTATTGTCTCGGGGCAAAACCAAACCCAGTCAGGATATAAGAGCCATATGGTTTCCTCCCCACATGTCTGGTGGGAGGAGTTGTGGATTGGGTGGAATTTGGGACCAGTTCCGGAGTCCCACAGGTGCTGGGCTCCTAGAGCCAAGGAAAACGGGTGCTGGCAAGCACACGTGTTTATACACTCCCAAAGGAAAGCGCACGAGCACAAGGCCTTCCAGTTGGCAAGACACCTTCGGTTCACATCCATTCTCTCAGAAGAGCACCAGAGGCAGGAGCCATTCTATAACATCCCAAAGAGCCATTCATGCATGGTCAGAGAGGCCAAGCCGCTTGCCTGAAGACACATAGCGTGAACCAGGTCACCCAGGTTCTTCCCGCCTACTCGCTCACAGTCAAGGGAGGAGGCCCCTGGATCCAGACCTCGGAGCATGGCAGGACAGTCCTGGTGCGGTAGGTGCACAATGAATTGCCCACCCCTCTTCACCATCACCCTCATGGAGACCTTCTTTGGGGTGTGGAGCAGAGGACATTCTAGGCCATTCTGTTTGGAAATCGAGGCTGCTCTTCCAAGAGAGGAGGAAGCCACTGCAGGCTGGGGACAAGGGGTGTGTCTGTGCCCAGGTCTCAGAATGTGATCTCGGTCAGTCTTCACAGACAACCTGGAAGAGAAGGGTCATGTACCCCTTTTGCACATAGAGAAACTGAGATTCCCAAAGAGCTGAGCTGCCCTTAGTTACGGACTCAGAAAGTACAAAGCCCAGATCAGAATCCTCGCCTGTGGAACTCTGAGATCCAAGGGCGTCATGGCCGACAGCCCCCAGGGCCCCCGAAGGAGCCCATCTCCCTTTCGCCCCTGGGCTGTGAGGGGTGGACCGTGTCCTCTCTTCCTTCCATCCCGCCTCTCTCTCAGCTGCAGTCGGCCGGCACAGGTGGGGTGAGGGGGACATTTCTCGCTGCCTCCGACTGGTATTGACGGATGGAGTGACTATTGTAAATGCTACCGTGTTGTGTAATCAGTAGGAAAATGTGACTCTGTCCCCAGAGATGCCAATGGCATTTTGGAGAAAATCCTATCCTTGATTCTAGGCCTGATCAGTTGAAATGTCTAGGTGACAGGGACAGGCTGGGGGCCCTGGATACACAGCCTGGGCAGGCTACTTGCTGCTCCAAACCCTGCCTAGGAAAGGAGGGATTGGAAAAGCAGAGGGGTGTCGGGGCAGGGGCATTTCTGGGTGTGAGCGCACCTGGGAACAGGTGGCCATTGTAGGGGGCTCTGGACTCCTACTATGGGCTCCATCTCATCTCTCTCCCTCCCCTCCCACACACCTCTCTCTCCCTCTCCCTCCCTCCCTCCCTCTCTCTCTCTGTCTCTCTCTCTCTCTGGAATTTCTCCTTCTATAAAATGGGGTGGGGGAAGCAGGGAAAAAGCACCCAGCTCATGATGAGGGTGGGTACAAGGTTTCAGTCAGGCAGCTGGCACTTGGCACAGGGTCTGGCCTTCACCGCGGCATAGGAAATATTTGTTAAGGGACGAATGAGCAGATGATCCAAGTAGCATGTTCCAGAAGCAAAAGGGATATAGCCTTTGAGTCAAGAGACCCAAATTGGAGCTATTTCTGTCACCTACTAGCTGAGTGACCTTAGGCAAGTCACTTAACCTTGCTGAGCCTCAGTTAATAATAGCAATAATCCCTGCCTCTCGGGTCATTGTGAGGATTAAGGGAAAAGTGCTGGGTGGAAGCGCCCGGTTAGCGGCAGGGCACTGTGCAAATATTAGTTCTAATTATTCCCTGCAATTATGAGTGCTCGGTGGGAGGCGTGTGGGAGGGAGGGTCCGGAGGCTGTGCATGAGGGTGGGTCTGTGACCAGGCTGTGTGTGCGTGTGTATTGTGTGTGGGTGTGTTTGGAGAACCAGGGGCCATTAGAAAAACCATCATCCCTCTAAGTTGTTCTTTCTTTTGCTAAACTCAACCTGCCAGGCTGACATCGGAAACAGGAATTAGTGGCAAGTCTGGGGGGACGGGATTAGCGGCTGAACTTTCTATTCCTGGAGACCCTCTTTTCTCAGGAGGTCAAAGCAATTTCCATATATTATCCTGCTGGCAGCCTGGGAAGGTCAGGGGAACTGCCAGACACACTCGGCAAGTTCCTTGGATGGAGAAGTCAAGGTGGGAAGGGCCGCTGCTGAGGCCAGTCCACCCTGCTCTAGTGTGAGCCACTATCTGATGGACGGCAGCCACGGGGCCTGTCCTGCTCACACCAGGCCCTCTCCTGACTGGCACCAGTTCATTCCTTTGAGTGAGTATTGCAGTCTCCTTCCCGCTGTCTCTGCCCTGGGCTGTGTGTGTCTTGGGAAGGGTTGAGCAGGACCCACAGTCGTTGACGTGCACACATGCAGGATCTTACAGTGGCTCTGTCTGCACCGTTCAGCCTCTGGCAGGGCTGTCCCCAACTCCCTCCTGCCCCTCTGCTCTGGTGGCTGCAAAATCAGTCTACTCTGAGCCTTTGGAGGGAGGGGGGACAGGAGGAAAGGACTTGGAGGTCCATTCACACTGCACCTGCCCATGCAGTGGGCAAGGCTAGGAATTGCTCTTTGCAACTGGTCAGAACGAGAGCCACCCCCCTGAAAGATGGACGGTGAATGTGCAGCTGGTGATCTGAGGAGCCTTGGGGGCAGTTCTCTGAAGGGTTAGAGCGTGATTCTCCAAGTGGGATCCCCAGACCAAGAGCATCAGCATCACCTGGGAACTCGTAAGAAATGCCAGCTCTGCCCACCCACCCAGACCTCATCGGATCAGGGCAAACGCTTCAGCAAGGGCTGAGCCAGCCAACAGGTGACTCTGAGGCTCCAGAGGTTTGAGAGCCACTGAGCTCAAATTGCACCCCTCCCTGCACCTGCAGTTGGGCCCCTGTCTTCCCCAAAGCCTCCCCTTCCCCACACTGGTTGTGGCTCATCTAAGAAGAACCTCTGTCCCAGACCCCCAGGCTGGCAGAGGGACAGGGGTTATAATTCCAGACTTCTCTCAGTTCTTCTCACTGGGCCCCAAATGTGTCTCCCAGCCCCTCCATTGTGTCACCTCAAGGTGCCCGGAGACCCTTCACCTTGCCATCCTCTTGGATCAATTCTCCAAAGAAGAGAACCCGACCTGCCACCACCTCTTTTGCTGGCCCTCATTCCCGGTGCCCTCCATGTTCCCTTGTGTGGCTTTAGGAAAGTGGCCGCTATCTCAGGGCCTGTGTATCCCCACTAGTAAAGAGTGGGAAGCCTCCCAGAACTTGCCCAAGACCCTCCAGAAGGTGGCTGGATTGAGAGGCCAGCAGCCAGCACGGCTACTCAAGGTTCAGGGTCTAGGGTGCCCCCAGCAGGGATGTGGGCCTCCCTCCCACCCCGTCCCTCCTGGGTAGTCACAGCAACTGCCATCCTTCCTGATAAAGCATCCACAGTGCAGGTGCCCTCTGGCTGGGACAGACCCACCCGCAGCGATCCTGAGGAGCACCACCATCCCAGTTTTGAAGATTCAGAACTGAAGCCCAGAAAGATCTCCCCACGGTTCCGGTCCGGTCCGTCTGAGATCTCACCGCCAGTTTGCCAGGCCCCCTCGTCCCTCCCCCACTCCAAGTCAGTCTGACTCCAGAGCCCTTTTCCTTAACCTGGGCAGCAGCCAGAACCTCAGCACCTGGCCAGGTACAACATGGAGAGGGTCAGCAGACCCCGCCTGAGCGCTGGCTCCACTACTCGCAGTGAGCGGCCCTGAGCTGCCTCGCTTGCCCCAGGCGTGTGGTGGGAATCCTAGCTCCCGCCCTGCCGGCCTCCCTGAACTCCAGGAAAATCAAGGACAGAGGAGGAAGCTTGGGGGAAACTGCGGTGGTGTCCAAACGCTGTGACCGAGTGCGCACCGTGCTTTACAGTACACAAAGCCCATCTTCATGGCACCCTCTGCGCAGCTACCTAGCTCCCCCGCACAACAGCCAACCGAGGCTGAGGTGTTAGATGCCTGGTCCCAAGTCTAGCCGACCCGCAGAGGCCCAACCAACCCCAGAGCCGGCGCGCCTCCGGTCGCGAGCGCAAGAGGGCGCCATGGGCTCGCAGCGAGCCCTGGCGGCCCCTTTCCCCCGACCGAGACCGCTCTCCGAGCTCTGCACCCGCCGGCAGTTTCCAGGCTTCGCGGAGCGCCAAGATGTGCCCCGGGTCCAGGGCCGTTCGGGAGGGGTGGCGGAGGTTGTCCAGGGTCTGGATTAAAATTTTAAAATCCAAAAAACCACTTGCCTCTCCTTGCTGTGTGACCTCTAGGGAGACGTTTGACCTCTCTGAGCTTTATATAATTCCCTCCCCTGCCGCCACTGCTAAATCCACAAAATGAGATCTTTGATTCAGGCTCGGAGGGCAAACTGGAAAGCCTTGTTCATACTTGAATTAGCGAAAAGCCCTTTTTCCTTGCCCCTGGACTCCATCTGAAGCCCCTCAGACGAGGCATGCTTGGCCTCGCATTCCTATTATAAGGTTCGCAGAAGTTGCTTTTTCGGTGGTCGAATGGGCCGGTCCCAGCATAGGCGGGCTGGTCTCCCGACGCCAGCCCCAGGTCTGTCCCTTCCTTGTTCCGCGGCCTCCGCCACAGCCCACAGCGCGGGTGCTGGACAGTCCGCCTCGGATCTTCTGCAGAGTCCCGGATGCTCAGGAAGCCAAAGCAATCGGAAGAGCCGCAGGGCCCGAATGCCCGGGCCGACCCGTCCCGACCCGCTCGGTGCGAAGGCCAGCGGTGTCGGTCCCGGGTTCCGACCCCAGCCTCGGGCCCCACGGGGACCGCGGTCCCGGGACACCTGGGCA